AAATCTTGAAAATGGACGGTGTAGATAATATGTTGTAAGATACACTTTTTTTAGACTTAAAAATCTTTTTATTTTTTATAGTCATACATCTCGATGTCGAGATGATCAATCAAAGGGTTTTTCAACATTAAAACTACCTTTTTCGATGGATTTTTGAAGGGCATCCATAGTTCTACATTATAAGGTAGCATCCTTATATAAACTTTTTCCTATATATAAAGCTTATATCTGATGTTAATATTATGTTGTACGAATATAGTGCATTTAAAAAAAACCCATTAGAGAAGGTTTTTCCTATGTTGGAAAACCCTCAAATCAATCATCTCGACTTTGAGATTCATAGACATGCAAAAAAAGGAATTTCAAGTCTTAAAATTAGTTCATCTTCTAAAACATTCATTGGACCATCCATTTTCAAGTGTGTATAGATCTGCTTGATCTTCACCATTTCTGGAACGGTAAATTTCATAAGTGGGGGTAACAATAGATTATTATATCATCGCAAGGGTTTGTGGCACCGAAAATGCACTTTTGGCAGAGTTTTGAGGTGCGCCTTGCCTCAATAATAAAAGGTTGACATTTTACATGAACCTCACCATATATAGACGCCCAATGCCTATGGGCGAAAATGATCAATGTTTTCACCCATAAGCTCGGCGATGTCTATTATTTTTAGACGACGTGGATTAAAAGACCGCAACAGATCTATTATGTCTTTTGTGGTACCGCAATAGACCTATTATGTCCGTTGTGGTACCGCAATAGACATAGCATGTCTGTGGCGGTATTTTTTCATGCAAAAAAATACAGGAAACCGTCACGGCTCTCGTAAATCCGTGACGGTTTTTAAGGCAAAACCGTGCATGTCTGTGACAGGGCGAAATACTATTCAATTTCGCCGATAAGTGTTTTTAAGAGTTTATATATATATATATATATATATATATATATATGTGTGTGTGTGTGCGCACGCGTGTGGAGAGAGAGGGAGGGAGGAATGAAGGTTTGGATTGTTTTATGTAAATGCATTTCATATATATATATATATATATATATCGCGCGCCCGCACGAGTGTGGAGAGAGAGAGAGGGAGGGAGGTTTGGATTGTTTTATGTAAATGCATTTCATGTGTTGCAGGACCAAGTTGAAGCAAACAGAAATGGAATGCGAGTACTTGAAACGTTGCTTTGGTTCACTCACTGAGGAGAACAAGAGGCTCCAAAGAGAGGTTGAGCAATTGAGAGCTCTCCGGGCCCCTCCTCCAACCGTTGTCTCCTTAGACACGCGTGTCGCCTTCCCAGCCTCAACTCTCACCATGTGTCCACGTTGTGAGCGTGTGAGCAGTACCGCCCTGGATGACAATGGTCTCTCCACTCTCTCCTTTACCAATCTCCCTAAACCCTCAACTCTATACATTAGACAACCATCAGCAGCTTGCTAGAGGCACCTTTTGTTCAGTGTTACATGGATACCGACACAGATACCGTATTTACCACGTGTCTTTGTAGCGTTGTTGTTGGATATACATGTAACTACAATAATATTTATATCGGAAATGATATGATAGATCATTTCACTTGATGGAAAATGGCTAAACTTGTTTTGCAGATATCTCTTTTATCTTGCTTTTTTCTTGGGATATATGGATGTTTGAGTACTATTTGTTCGAGGACGGAATTGTATATAATAAAACCGTTGTCTTTTATATATATATGATGGTTTGAAACACCCCAAGCTGTTAGATGTAAAATTGGATGACTGTGGTGTGCCATTTTTTTAATACAAGTCTCAGAAAAAAAATTTGAAGACTCCATGTGACTGTAGGGCTGGTGGTAACCTATTGAATCGAATGTACAATAGTCTTATTTCATGCTTTCCTTAGCTGGCATCTAAGGCTAAAAATGTACGATACAACGATTTGGTATCCAGGTGAACAATAATTATTTGTTCAAGATCAAACAACTATGGGTCAGTCACAAACAATGTCAAAGATAAGCTCAAGCAATCCGCGAACTCACAAAAGAAAGAGAAGGGGAGGGGGCATCTTCCTGCACATAATTTGCGTGGGGATCAATAACTGTTTATTCAAGATCAGATAACTGATACTTTATACTCAGTTGCAAACAATGTCAACGATCAGCTCCAGTTATCATTGTCGAGCCATAATTAATGCGAGTTATTGTTGTTGACTCACAATCAGCCACTCAATCAAAATCAAATGGTTGTCGGTCCCAGATCCAGACATAAATAAATTATGAAATGGGCTTACGGAAACTCAGCTGATTATGAAAAGGTTAAAATGAACCATAGATCAATTCTATGGAAATGAAAAAAAACACAAATAATAATGAATAATTCATATAATAGTAAATGAGTCAAAATAAGACCGGAGGGAGTGACACGGGTGAGAGAGGAAATGAGTATGGTTGAGAGAAAATGCAAAGGGGGAAAACTACCATGAAAAAGGTGGTTGCTTTGCAAAAATTGTAAATGATTAGTTCCACATAAAGGGGGAAGATAGTAAAGGAAGGCGCATGACATAAAGAAGAAAAGCACCATGCCTTTAAATTAAATACTCAACCACTTTTTTTTCTCTTAAGGTAAGTACTCAACCACTTCTTTAAATTTAGCCTTTTTATGTTTTTTTTTATAGAGAAAACGGTTACCAAGGCGCTCAATAGTCAAGCCCAACAATAATACTATTCAAATTCAATAGGGTGTGGTTTGTATAAGGTCGAGGCCCTAAACTATAAAAAGTAAGTCACACCTTCAAATAGCGTTGAAAGATATTTCAATTCAAATAGTGTCGAAAGATATTTCAATTCTGAAAATTCTAGTGATGACTTGAAAATTTATTTTCATTTCTACTTATAAAATTTAAAGCTTACAAAATAGTGTAGATCGAGTAGATCTATGAAAACTGAAAAATCTAAAAAACTAACGGTAAAAAAATACATTATAAGATGCATTATTTTCAAGACTTGAAATCCATTTTTTCTCATGTCCATGAATCTTTAGGTCGAGATGTGACCAATTTGAGGATTTAGGGCACCGAAACAACCTCTTCCAGTGAAATTTTTGAGGTGCGTCTTAATTTGATTGTTTAAGGCCTTGCACTTATATAAAACTTCTTCCAATTCAAAAGTAGCCTACTTACAATAATATTATTTCTGAAGTGTGGAAATTTTTTTCTCAAATATAACTTCAGTAAGTTGCTTGAAACCAAGACTGAGAAACTAAAACCTGTGGGCATAAAATAGTTATGAGGCTTGTTTAGGAGTTTGCACTAACAAAAAGAAGAATGACTTTGTGTAGGATTTGCAAGCTTTGGACACTATGCTATCAATTGGTTTTCAAACAGTTTCTTAGCTCTTCCCCAACTGCCTGATTTGAACTTGAAGGCTGAGGTGCGTAGTACGTCTACCTACTTTGAGAAGGAGCGACATTCCGAAAACTCTCCCACTCGATGGTTCGTCGAGTGCTAGGAAGATGAAGGATACTAGAATGATATCTGTTATGGTTCACATGAATTGCAGGATGCTGTAGTTTAGATGAGATGCGTTTCTTCAAGATATTCAGTTTCAGTAAAGTTAGTATTTTTTAACTCTTCTATTTAAATCTTACCTATCGAACCTTTTATGAGAATTTTAATCATTTATTATAATAATTGGTTATATCTTAATCAATTATTTTTGTTTTTATTTTTAATTTCTAAATTTAATAAAAATTGATAATGTTTACTCTTGTACTTGACTCTCAAGTCAAGCAATACCTTTTATAGATATTTTTTAAATTATTCACTATAATTAATAAGTTTTTTATATTTTTTTCATGTCAAAATCCTTTTTTTAACTCTTTTATGTTATTGACTTTCTTTTTTTGTTAAGTATTTCGTTTTGATAATCGTTAGGAATTCCGATTTTAACTTGATTGCTGATATAATTTAGTATGAAGTTTTAGATGAACTTGAGGGATGTTAAAAAATGGTGAATTGGTTAGAACTAAGAAGTCTTATTTTAGTGGAGACTCTTGTACTAGAGTTTAGAGAGATATTAAAGAAAACAGATGGAAGGAGCAGTAAACTGATGGGTTGAACAGGTCACCCATCGATTCTAAATCCACTCGACCTAGCTTGCATGTTTTTCTTTGTATAAAAAACCCAAAAATTAAAAATAGGTCTTTGAGAACAACTTACCAAGGGATAATTAAGAAGACGTCTGGTTTGGGGGACCAATCAATTGGAAATACAATTTCTTATTAAGAAGGGTGAATGCCAGTTGACACAATTTACAACTTGAAGTTCCAAATAAGTCATTCACTAATGCAAAGAAAGTGACATGGTTCAAAACTTGAATCTATGAATTGATAATTCAATTAAAAAGGAAAGGATAAAAATGAATAACTGCTATGGAACTTAAAGTTTCAAGTTTCTATTTACCCGAGAAAAAGTTCCAACTCTCTCAAGTGTATTTTTTTTTTGGGATTATATACTATGAGACTTTATTATGAGAATAATGAGTTCTTAACTATTTCTAACCACCAAATAGCAAATCAGATTATTTAGAGTATGTGACAAAGTTCGATAATTTTTTTTTACATTTTGAGTCTAGTTAATGACACACTTTCATCCTTTCAATTTCAAATCTAACTGTCAAGAATGATTGTTACCTTCTTATACAAAAGATAAATGGTCTTATTGTATAAATTTCCTATTTCTCTATGTTGTGGAAGACCCTTCAGTTATTGAAAAATCTATAAGTGCCGAACTGGTTTTTCACTAAAAAAATGACAAATGACATGGTTGAGATATTGAAGCTCCGAATTGGATAATTTGCCCCTCATTAGAGTGAAGAAGCAATTAGAACTTCAAGTTTTGAACCCGTTAAGTCAAAAAAAAAAGAAAAAAAAAAGTTTGGGATATTAAAAGTCCTAATCGATCTCCCACTAAAATAAAATGCCCCATTTTTGAACTTGAAGATCCATAAAGTACTTAAAAAACAATCCAAATCATGACAAAAATAAGATAAATATATAAAATATCCAAATTATATTTTATATTCTTTTTAATTGTACGAGATATTTATAAAAGGAAAAAGTTCATATCAAGTTGACACCTTATATTGTAGAATTAAGGTGCACTTCAAAAATATATCAAAAAAGGCTGTTTAGAAAACTGTCTAATTCATCATCTTAATATCAAGATGTATGTATATGGGAAAGAAATAAATAAAATTTCAAGACTATAAATAGTACATTTTGTAAGACATTTTTGGATTGTCAATTTTTTAAAAATTTATGGGTTTATAGATGTGCTTGATTTGAATAAAATAGATTATCGGGTCATTCTAAAAATATTCAATACCAAAATTGCATCTCATGATAGAGTTTAGAGATGCGCGTTACTTTTTTTTTTTGGGTAATTCAATAGGGAAGACATGCCCCTACCCAAGCTTTTTCAAGTTGTTTAAGAGTTAGTTTTTTTTAAGGTAATAAAGTAGGGTACCCAAGCTTTTTCAAGTAGTTTAGGAGTTAGTTTTTTTGAAAGTAATAGTGGGGTGGCGTAGTGAGAATGGAAGTCACAACGTGGTAACTAAAATGTAAGGGTGCTACCACCATAACCCCAGCCCCTTTCCTAAGATGCACCTTACTTTGATTATTTAAAGTTGCAACATTTTGCAAACTACATCCTATACAAAAAACGAGAAGTATAAAATAAGAAAATTTATTTTTAACACAAGGAAGTTACAAGTATTATTAGTTATTGGATGTAAAATCGGGTAGTTGGGGATATGTCGGCACAAGGTCTAGAAACAAATTTTTTTTGAATTATTTAACATTATTTGAGTCGCCAGATTTCACATCTAATGGTTAGGGATAATTATGGCTTCTTTATACCAAAGATATATAGTTTCATGGTATACAATCCCAAACAAATATCTCTCGTTCTCTTGTATTTAATTGATTTAAATAAAGTATACAAAAAGATCATTTATTTTTTGTACATGGAGCTCACAATCACTCTCGAACTTTGTAACGGAACCCAATACATTTAATTTAATATCTAACAGGCAGTTGGAATTACGACCTCCTTATAAAATAAAATTAAATAGTGTCCTAGCATACAATCCCCATGAATTTGTGAGTGTGGTTTGTATAAGGTTGCAACCTTAGACAATCAAAGTAAGGTGCATCTCCAAATTTTATCATAAGATGTACTTTTTTAATAGAGTTTTTTTTGGGATGGCCTGATAATCCATTTTCATATCTAATTATGAAATTTTAAGCTTAAAAAATGGGTCCAATCAAGTAGATCTTTAAACATATTATAACATTGAAAATAGACATTCCAAATAACATGTTGCAAGATGCATTATTTTTGGAGCTGAAAAATTTTATTTTTTAACATATTCATGCATATGGAGATGATCAATTAAAGGCTTTTCCAACAACCTTTAATAGATTTTTTAGGTACACCCTAATTCTACATTAATTTATGTTTGGAAAAAAATTATATAGAGCCGAGGCTCTAAACAATCACATTAGGGCTGTCCTAAAACATTTAACAAGAAAATGTTGTTTTGATGCTCAAATATCTTCAAAATGTTCA